TTTCTCTATATAATCAATAGAGCCCCGCCCTAACACCAGAACCCGTGACCCTGGGGCCATGAATTTCACAATTTTGAAAGAGGCACTCTTGTTCTTCATAACTATGTACTTAGTTACTTTATTTAATACCCAGGAGCAGAGAAGAAGATTTTCAAAGAAATAATGCACTTTCACTATATGATCTATATAGCCCCACCCTAGCACCAGAACCAGGACTCAATGCTTATTACAATGATGCCAACAGTTTGACTGCTTGATGTCCAGGAGTAAAGAAGAAGATTTTTAAAGATTGCATTATTTTTGGTGGTTTTAGCCCCACCCCTCAGGCCCCAGGGGGCAGGGACCATGGAATTCACAATTTTTGTTCCCCTTCACCCATAGATGCTATATGCCAAATTTGGTTGAAATTGGTTAAGCAGTTTCAGAGAAGAAGCTAAAAATGTTCAAATGTTAACACACGATGCACACCACACGCCGACGGACGAGAATGGATAGCAATAGGTCACCTGAGTGACTCAGGTGATCTAATAATGATCCTAGTTAAAAGTCTCTATTTGTGGCAAGATTTATTGCAATCAGACTAAACTATAGGAGGAGTAGCCTTTTAAAACAACATTGTTCATCGAAATCAAAAACCTAAATAAAGAATTATGTATCTTAGGCCAAATAAAAAAATATGTGTGGTTCCGATTACCCGACCGTCCCTTTTTTATACCCCCCGACTCTAAACTTTTTTTTGACAATTTTCATATTTTTTCCGGAATTTTCCCCAATTTCCATCAATGGCTCTGGTTTAAGTTTTAGTTTCAGCAATGACGGCCTCCTTGCACAACATAGTGCAAGTGTTTATTAGTGTTAAATCCAAAGCAAGCTAGCATGTAGGTGTCCCCTACCAATACTGACTAGTATTTTATCACACCACATCTAAATGTCATTTGCAAAGTAGTGATGAGTATTATTTAGAATAATTAAGAAAATCATTTTGTTAAAAAAAAAGAAGAAATCCCTACCTACCTACCCTAATTTTTTTGGAGGTGTAACCGGAACCACACATATTTTTTTGTTTGGCCTTAGTGTAGTCTACATGTGTGCTAGGTTATATTGAAATCAGATCAAAACTATAGGAGGAGTAGCGTTTTGAACAATTGTTTACAGACGGACAGTCGGACGTACAGACAGACAGATGGACACCTTACTATTGCATAAGCTCTTCTGGTCTCTGACCAGTAGAGCTAATAAAACTGGGATTAGATAGTTCTTATTTACGCAAAAACTATGAATAATTCAGTGTGTTCTAAATGTCAACATGGTGGTTCAGTTAGAAGCAAGTAAAAATCATTGAGACAAATGTATTGAATTCTTTCTTAGGGTGACAGGCACATACAACCTTAAATAGGTTTGATATCATTAATTTGGTCACAGACGGTTATTTTCAATGCACTTTCATTTGTTTTCTTGTTTCTTGTTCAGAGCTATTCTGCAAATTTCTGATGCACTGTAGGCCGGTAAATGGGATTGGCATTCTATTACTGTAGGGGTGTTGCTAAAATGTGGAACTGAAAAATGGAATGGAAAGGGTAATGGAACGAAAAACAGAAAATAGGGTACTAGGTTTAGCAATAAGCAGTTCACAAATATATTAACAAGTTGCTGTCCTTTAAAAAAGGACTGCAATACGTGGATCATATGCATGTGTTTCTAAACGAAATTCAAAGAAAATTTCTAGATTTAGTGATTTTAAAAAGGTGTAAGTAAACTTCTTTTTTTTTACATGTATCTTGTAATTTTCATCGTTATTTCAGTCTGCATAATTAGGCTGTAATGTAAAAAAAATCATGACCTTGAAATGATATAAATATAAAATGTTGATCTAGGTATCTATCACAATACTTTGTATCGTGAATACCTCACAGTTATCTAACTTACTGCCGCTCTTTTACAGCTAAGTCGAGGAAACTCTAAATCTCGCGAGATTTCCGGAGCATGAATTACTCACGCTAGTGACAATCAAATGATTCGAACAATTATAGTACGCCGAAAGTACTATGTATTGCAAAAGGTTGAACTTTAAATAGAAGGTTGTCTAATTTGGAATGTTTAAATTTTTATCAGCTTCCAAAAGCAACGATAATCAGAAAGAAATGGTTGAATTTACAATTAGAAGAGTCGGCTTGCTGAAAAAGTATCAATAAAAATGTAACACATGAGGACTAGGTTCTCTTAAAATTTATAAGCATGGTTCAGCGAATGTTCAGCGAATGTTCCGCAAGATATTTCACCAGGACTTCTTTCATATCTGCCCTTTAAAAATACACAATGCTTGATCTCATGTTGTATGCAACAGCACACTGCCCCCAGCTAACATACGTTTCCTACCTTCACCACGAAAGAGTTCCATTAAGTAAAGTAATCGCGATATCAAGTATTGTAATGTAACCTTTAAAATTAACAACAGAATTAAAAGAGGCTTAAGCATGCAAGTATCATAAAGGTTGAATTT